AACATACTTGGCGAGAACACAAGTCCGTACTCGCAGTCTTGTGATCTGAGAAACGGCCACGGTCTCCATTAAAGACTCTGGGTTTCTGGTTGCTTCAAATTTCTAAATGAATTAAGAATAGTTTCCATGTGGATGTTGTGGCTCATGGATGCTGCTGACATGGATCAACTCCTTCATGGTATTAGGATGCAGTTCAACATGGCAGCCTTGTTGGTTGATAGAACCAGCCTGTCTTTCCCGGTTCTGATCAAAGGTCAGCGTTTTATCCCTTTAGCTTTCAGATACTTACGCCTCAGCCAGTTCTGCCCTCTCCTCTGTCCGCTCCAGCTCTCCTTCTACAATCACCAGCTTACGAGCCACCTGAAAAAAGCAGATCATATGACAGTTAGCTTGATTTCCTACATATAGGTAACAAAGTATGCTCACTCTGTTAGTTAGAGCACACAAAAAGAGCCGGCTAAATAAAATGGTTTCCTTACAGGCCATGGATCAGCATGAATTTCTTTGTTTAGAGACATTAAAGTAAAGAAAAATCACCTCCTCGTATTTGCGATCAGCTTCTTCTGCGATGTGTTTGGCCTCTTTCAGTTGAATCTCCTGGAGTTCCATCTTCTCTTCATCCTTTAGGGCCCTGTTTTCAATCACCTTCATGCCTCTGCAGAGAGAACGCATCACATCTCTCATTTAGTACGATCAATTTACCAAAATCGTATTGATCGCCTTGCTTTTAAAATCTCCCCCCCGAAAGAAGCAACAAGATGCATTTGCATCCATTGTATTGAATCAGCCAGGTGATGCAAAGCTTGGTGTCTTTACACATTCAGGTTGGAAGTGGCTGTAATAAGTGGAAGTAGCAGGGAGCAGTAATGGAGCAATACTTTAATGAAAGTGTTGCAGTTGGGAAACTTGTACAAAGTTGATGCTATCTGGCTTTACATTTAAATAAAGTTTTATATATATATATATATATATATATATAACTGTGACAAGCAACAGAGATGGGGGATCTGGAGCCAAAAAGTCATCTCTAGGTCATGTGTTGGCAGGGGTGGGATTTACCATTTGGCAATACTAGTTCCAGGGGGGGCCCTTAAAACTCTGTTTCCATGTGTAGTGAATACAACTATTCCTTATTTGTGCGCATTAATTATTTTGTTGATAAAAATCCTTTGGCTAAAATGCCATCAGAACGCTGATAATATCAAG